GGGGAGGGGGAGGGAGAGGTCGTCCGCGTCAGGGAGGGCCGCCGAGGGCCTCTGGCGGCGGCCGAGCGCCGCGCCAGGGGCCGCGCCGAGGGGCCTCCCCTCCGCCCCGCGAGGACGTCGGGCTGGCCGCCGAGGGCGCGGCGGAGGCCCCCCCGGCCCGCCTGGTCGCCGAGTGCGCGGCCGAGGTTCAGGAGGAGGAAAAAAAGGTACCCATACCTCTACCCTTGCCTCGTTTTCCCTTTTCTCGGCCTCCTGGGCTGTCCTCGTCGCCACCGCTGGATTCGCTTCGAAATTCTGGTCAGAACGCACCCCGGGAGAGGTCCGGGGAGTAGCGGTATCGGTACCTTGGGGTCTCCCCCGAGGTGCGCGCGCGGTGGGCGGAGTTCGCCGCCTCGCGCGGCGAGCGGGCCGCCAGCCTCATGGGCAAGTTCGCCGACCGGTCGATCCCGGCGGCGGTGCTGCTGGCCCCGCCGCCGCTGGCCTGCCTACTCGAGGCCCAGGGGTTCTCGCCGCCGCCGCCGCCGCCGTCGTCGTCGTTGTCGCCGTCGTCGGACAGGGCGCGGGAGGCGGCGGATCAGGAGAAGGTGAAGGAGGAGGTCGTCGTCGTCGTCGTCGCACAGGAGGGTCGCCGTCGGAGGGCCGCCGTCGTCGTTGGAGGGTCGTCGCCAAGCTGCTGGCCGGAGAAACATCACCCCTCTCCGCGGATCCCCGTCGCTGACGAGCGGGCCCAGGTCCAGGACGAATCGCTCCAGAGCGTCCCAGAACTCTGATGTTGTCCCTGTCCTGGCTTCGTCTCACTCGGCGGCGCACCCAGAAGTCAGAGGGAGTGGGCCTTCTCAGAAGACTCGGAAGGCTTCTGGCCCTCTGAGAAGCCTTCTGAGCCTTCTCCGAAGCCAGAGGGGCTTTCTCATGCAGAAGGCTGGAAGACTTCTAAGAAGCTTCGCCGATCAACGATTCAGGCAACTCGATGGGCGGCGGGGGTAGGGCTCGGAATTCGTCGAACACGTGGCGAAATCCGAACCCGACCCCCGCCTCCCATCGATTCAGGAGAATCGATGGTTGGTGGGGGTAGGGTTCGAATGCCGCCACCTTCTGGAGAAGGCCTGCCCTTCTCTCACTCTGCCGGTTTAGTAACTCCGCGCCCTCATGGGCACCTAATCTTCGACCATTTCTTTCAACATCTCTTGCACCCGCATTGGTAGCGACCTTAACTTATCACCACATGCCCACGCCAGCGCACTCATACTTTCTTCGCCCGAGGAACGCAACAAGCCTGGCCTCAACTTTCGCCCATCGTAAAAACTTCTCACTTCGAGGGTAGAAGCACTGGGACCAGGACCAAGATGTCGCGGGATCTTGTCGATGCCGATCTTGGTCATGGTCCATGCCAGCCGTGCCGATCTGCGATGATGATCCACGAGTGGACGCTGACCAAGATCACCACGACGTTTCGGAGTTCAGTTCTCGTCACTGCCCCTGCCTTTTCCCCTCCATCTCTGCCCCCCTCCTCCTCCTCCTCCTCCTCCTCCTCCTCCTCCTCCTCCTCCTCCTCCTCCGCCTTCTCCTCCTCCTCCTCCTCCTCCTCCTCCCTCCTCCTCCTCCGTCCCTCCCTCCCCTCCTCCCTCCCTCCCTCCCTTCCTCCTCCTCCCTCCTCCTCCTCCGCCTCCTCCTCCTCCTCCTCCTCCTCCTCCTCCTCCTCCTCCCTCCCTCCCTCCCTCCCTCCCTCCCTCCCTCCCTCCCTCCCTCCCTCCTCCCTCCTCCCCTCCCTTCTCCTCCTCCTCCTCCTCCTCCTCCTCCTCTCCTCCTCCTCCGCCTCCTCCTCCGACGCACCGCCCCGCGGAGCCCCCTCGAGGCGGCCCTGGCGGCGGAGGCCCCGGCCCCCGCCGGCCCTCGCGGCCCGGGCGCTGCGCCGCAGCCGTCGGCAGCCCCCGAGCGGTCCCCCGAGCGCCCGCCCGGGGGCGGGATCGCGGACCGCGCCGCCGAGGCCGCCTCGCCCAGCGAGGTTCGGGGGTGGGCAGAGCTCGCCTGAGATCCTGGGCGTTGCAGTGGGTCTTCGCGCCAGGCGCTTGTTCGCGTGACTGCGGGCCCCCGGGACCCTCACAGCTCGGCCCGGCTTGGGGAATGGAACAGGGAGATTTGGGTTAGGGTTCAGGGCTCAAGTCGCGGTTTTCCGTTATATTGTCATCAGTTCGCGCCGTCGGATCTCTGGGTCCGAGGAGGAAGAGGTACCGATGCCGCTGCATTTGCATCGTTTTCGCCTGTTTGGCCCTCTTGCGAGGCCCTCGTCGCCGTGGCTGGATCCGTCTCGAAGCTCTGATTAGAGCGCACCCTGGGAGAGGTCTGGGGAGCACATCCGGATCCCTTGGCTTCTCCAAGAACCTCTACCCGTTCCAAGTCGAGGAACGAATTGCGTGTTTTTTCCTCTTCGCGAGAGGGTCGCGGCCGCGGTTGGTTGCGGGCATGCGCCCGCCGGGTCTGGTCCCGGGTGGCTTGCACAAAAAGGCGTGTGGCTACACTGGCGGGCTGCTCGCAGTGTCCCCTTCCCGCGAGGTCGCGCAACAGAGGCTGGAGCGCGCGAGCTGTGAGCGCCGGCAGACTCAGCCTGTCGAGGTGAAGTGCGCCCAGCTCGTATAGTACACCGAATTCGAAGAGGTGGTAGGCCGTGCATGCTTAGTTAGCCGCTCTCATGGCGGGTGCCTCGGCCTTGGTGCCGGCACTTGCAGCGCAGTCTCTCCGCAGTTCGGGGCTCGACCTTGGCGAACTGCTGGTTTGATGCACTTGTAGCTAGAGCTAGAGTCCCAGGGGCCCAGGTTGGGACTTCATCGATGTGCCATGCCCTTTGTAGTTCACATCGCACTTGGGAAAAGAGGCGGCAAGGTGAGTACATGCGAAGGGGGTGGGTCGACGACAGGTGTCTCGGACTGGTGTCTTCGTGTGCGCGCTCAGCTTCCCACGCACACAGAGGGGCGAGGGGATGCACAGCGTGCCCTCATGTACGTGGCATCGGTTGAGATAGCGGACTGAGGGAGGCAGGGGGGAGTTGGCTCTGCCCGGAGGCCCCTGCGGCTGCCGCGATGCCCTCAGTCGTGCTCTGGTCCGACGATCAGGATCACATGAGCTTGGCAAAGGTCGTAATCGCTCCAGGCTCCACTCCTGCAGCCAGCGGTGGTCACATTGAAGTGTAGATCGGCTGGGTGTTCCTCGTGCCTTCCCCCTTCGCCTCTGCTTCCCCATCTCCCCCCAAACAAATCACATGAGATGGGCCGCGATGCGTTAGACTGACAGGGGGCTCCCATCCCTCCCCGCTCGCCCGCAGGAGGGAGCAGGAGAAGTGAGGGAGGACCTGACTGGCTGGCGGATACAAAATGGGGCCTCGAAGATAGGCACGATCACGGACCTGGCCTCGGTTCAGATCGCGCAGCCACACCCGCCTGTCCGATGGCAGTCGCCCGGCCGGTCCCGCCAGAGACCGAGGCCATGCCACCTGGCGGCTGCATGCCCGGCGGCATGCCCTGCGGCGGCATGCCTGGCATGCCTGGCGGGGGGATGATGCCCGGCGGCATGCCCGGCGGCGGCATGCCCGGCAGCATGCCGGGAGGCGGCATGCCAGGGATGCCCGGCGGCGGCATGCAGCAGGGGGGCATGTGCGGGGGGATGCCAGGCATGGCCGGGAGCATGCCTGGAGCGGGTGCAGGCGCGCCCGCCCCCGTCCTCCGCACGCATGCAGCGGGGCTCCGTTCGGCGTCCGGGCCCCTTCGGCCGCCGCGCCGTCTCGGCTCGACGCCGAGCTGGCGGGATTCGTCGGGGAAGAAGTCATGGCAGAAGCATCACCAATTTTCGGAGCTTCGCGCGGATTTCTCGGATCTGCGCTATAGATCCCCCCCCTTTCCCTGGCGCGCAGAGCCCTCCCTGGCGCCGCCAGGGGCGCCGCCAGGGGGCCCCAGCGCAGATCCAAGAGATCTGCGCGGAGCTCCGAAAGTTTACCCGCTGAGCGCGTTCCACTACTCGCAAAGTGCCTACTCGAAAACGTCCGAAAAACAAAACGTCTGCCTCGACGTAATGTATCGTAAGTCCCCTCGCGGCGGACCCATGCCAGTTGCGAACAGTTACTTTGCGAGTAGTGACACGCGATTGTCCATGTACGTCTCTGCAGTTTTTCCGTCCGTTGGGGATGGGGGCCCGCTCTGCCGCCGCACGGGCTCGATCTCGGCCTCGCCTCGGCTGCAGGGCGGGCTCGGACGCCGCAGCGGAGGAGGGCGACGTGGGGAGGCGGAGCTGGCAGCGGCCGTGCAGGAGAGGCGGAGCCCCACGCGTCCTGGGCGCGGGCGCCCCGACGCGACGGGCATGCAGCGGGAAGGGAGCGGCAGAGGGGCAGGTCGAGAGAGAGGGAGAGAGGCACACATCTATATATATATATAGAGAGAGAGAGAGAGAGAAAACAACAACAAAAAACAAAAAACACAAAAAGAGAGAGCGCTGCGTCTCGGAGCCAGCGGGGGGTCTGTGGTGGCCCAGCACTGGTTTCGGCCAGCAGGAAGGGGGGCAGTGTCCAGGTTCTGGTTTCGGGTGTTTCCCTTTTTCGGTCTCCCGGTTCCTACTCTCGGGTTTGTGTGTTGTGGGTGTGCGGTCGGACCAAACAGGCTCGCAGGGGCAGCTGCTTGTGAGCTTGGTGTCGCGTCGAGCTACCCTCGTCTGCTTCGCACGTCGCGCTTGACCATGTGTGCACGTCTCGGTTATTCAGCTGCACGCGGCAAACCCCGACGCCGTGCAGTCCAAGCATCGACGTGTATGCAGGTTCTTATGATGCCTCCGAGTAGGATCGGTATAACTACCTTGGGGTCGTCTAGAAAGCGGTTCTGCGGTGGTGTAGCAGGGCGCATCCGTGCCGTTGCATGGCTTTCGCGTTGTGTTTTTGTTTGGGTGGGGGGAGGTCTGAGGAGTTTCCTGGTGTCCTTGAGGCCGCTTGAGGCCCCGTGGGGGCTCGTCGAGGGTCTCCAGGCCGTCTTGGGTGCGATGGTTCTCCCGAGCTCCGTTGGACTTGGGGCCGTCTGAGCGGCGTCTTGTGATCGTCGTGAGGCCCGCTTGAGTCGATCTTGAGCCGTCTGGGGGTGATTGTTTGGCCGTCTTGGGGTCCTCCTGTGGCCATCTGGACGGCCTCCTGAGGGCCTCTCTGAAGCCATCCTGGGTCCATCTGAAGCCAGTCCTGGGGAAAGAGCTGGGGTTACACTCATGGCCCCTTACCTCAGGGGAAGGGTAGCGCAAGGGGAAGAGGAGGCGGAGGAGGAGACGGAGGTTGAGGAGGTGGAGGAGGAGGCGGAGGAGGAGGAGGAGGAGGAGGAGGCAGATGAGGAGGAGGAGGAGGAGGAGGAGGACGAGGGAGGAAGAGGATGAGTCGGAGGAGGAGTGACAGGTGTTACGTGGGAACCGCGGGCGCAGTCGTCGCCTGCTAGATGATGTCACGGTCGGTCCCTCCAACACTTCATGTGACGCGCGGATGCAACACTGCGGTCCTGTTGCTCAGCACTTGTCGCGCGTCGTGGTGATCCTTGCGAGGCGTGCGTGCGAGTGAGTGAGTCGGCGCGGGTGGAGGACAGTTGGTTCGAAGAAGAAATCACGGCATAACCATAAACGTTTGGAGCTCCGCCTGGATTTCTTCGATCGGAGCTGGGCCCCCCATACCTGGCGCGCGGGGTGCGCCAGGGGTAGCGCCGGGGGCGCCGCCACGGGGGGGGGGGCAGCGCAGATCCAAGAAATCCGCGGAGGAGGAGGAGGAGGAGGAGGGAGGGAGGGAGGGAGGGAGGGGGGGCGGCTGCAGAGGGAGTGGGGGGGAGCATGAGCAGCAGGGCGAGCGGTAGCAGCGGCCCAGGCGCGCCGAGCACTGGGCCGGGGATGTGCGGCGGGTGCATGCCGGGCATGAGCATGCCGGGCATGAGCCAGCCTGCCGCAGGAGAGCGCATGTCCCTCCCTGCGCCGGCCCCGTCCTCCCCAGCCTCTGCTCGCTCGTCGTCGCCGCCGTCGCGAAGAGGAGGGCAACGAAGATGAGCGGTTGAAGAACGGTATAACAGAACATTTTCCGCGATCGGGGACGTTTGGCCCCCGGGCGGCTGGACAGTTTATATACCAACGTGCCATGCTCCAACGTGGCACCGTAGGGGTGTAACATTGGCAGCCGCTAGGAGGAGCAGTGAGCAGGCGTTCCCGACAGCAGACTGTTTGTTTTGTAGAGTCAAGAGGGCGGCATTTGAGGCGAGATTTGGGGCGATGCGTGGGGGAAGGAGAACAGGATCAGGATCGAGGAGGGGGTGCAGACCTTGCCGCGCGAGACATGCTTACAGGGAGCACATTTGGCGCCCACGCTTGCCGGCCGGGTTGCAGGCCGGAGCCCCCGCTAGACTCGAAAGGCACGTCGGGGGCACAGCGTCCCGCTAGAGCAGGTGGCACAACTCCTATTCGCTGCGCACGTTTCCAGATCCACACGATCGTTGATCCTTTGGTGGCACGGGCGCCGCCAAGTCCTGTTGTCAGCGCCATCGTCGAGCTTGCTGGATGCGCGGGGGCCAAGATTCAGAGCCCGCCGTCCGCGTGGACAGCTTTCCCGGGATGGTTTGACACGGCGGGCACATAATGCCACGAGCTCTTACGATGATTTCTACCTGCTTCTCGCCAGAATTGGTTTGTGATGCTACACGTGCGGTTTCGGCAATACTATGGCATATGCATCGTGCGCGCTCCGGTGGCAAACGCGGAATCCTCGATCATCGGCGTGTCCGCCAGCCACCAATCAATGATTATTGCTTGTATTCGACATGCATGGTTTCTCCAACACGGTAGCATAACCGTCACGGGTTCTCTACACGCTCGCAGCTTGATTTTACGATCGACATCCTGCTCGCACTTGCGAGCGAGGTCCGCAAAAGCTGGAACTCGGACAGAACTCGGACTTCACCTATCCGACTACGTTCGTTCCTGTTTCTTCTTCTGGCTACGTTCGTTCCGACTGCGTTCGGGCAGCCCCACCCGAGCGACGAAGAATAAACGGGGTCGTTTGCACCGACCTTCGCCTTTGAGCGACCTCGTTTTTTGGGGGGACTGCCGCGGGGTAGCGAACAAGCGGGGTCGTCTGCGCCGACCTTCGCCTTTGAGCGACCGCGTTTTTTGGGGGGGAGGGGGGGGCCTGTCGCGGGGTAGCAAATACACGGGGTCGCCTGCACCGACCTTCGCCTTTGAGCGACCTCGTTTTTTGGCGTAGGGGGGCCCTACCGCCGCGCAGCGGTGTGCAGCCCGTGCAAAGCCGCACCGTTGCCTGACAAACTGCGTGAGGGGCCCCCCCTCCGAGTCTTTCGCTTCTGAGCTGCCCGCGAGCGGCCGCGCGTGAGCGCGCGCCGCGCGCCTGTGGCCGCGCTGCCTCGCTTCCCATGTGGCGCGCCGCGCCGGCGGCCCGCGCACGCCACCGTGCAGGCCCCTGCCTCTTCGTCCCTCGGCAGGGGGAGCACCGGCAGCGGCTGCCGACCCGAGCCACCGCGCAGCACAGCACGCACGGGCCCAGGGGCGGATGACGCAGGGTGAAAGAACCGGTCCTGGGCGATGGGTCGAAACTTCCGGAGACCCCGTATTGAGCAAAGTCACGGCATCGGATCTCTGGGCGGTCAGTCCGCTGGAGGTCTTCAGCTCCCCGCCACTCGGGTCTTCGTCAACGGAGGGCACTGCGGTCGGGAACGCTTGGACAGCGCGTCGCTCCGCCGGTTCTGGCCCACCACGCTTCGGAGCGACACGCTATTCACCCCCCGGTCCCCGAGCGCCCACGGGGGCAGAGCGATACGCTGCCCCCTTGCAAAGCATAGCGTGTCGCCAGGGCCGCCGCGGCGACACGCGATCCAAGATGTCCCGGCCGTAGGCCGGGAGGGAGGGAGCGACGTGCACCTCTCGTGCCCCTCGTGGGCCCGCGGTGGCAGCTCAGTCGCCTTGCAGGGGCCCCCTATCGGGGCCACTTTCGCTGCACTCCTCGCCCGTCCCGACCCCCCCCCACGTGCTGCCCCCCGCCGCGTCGGCAGACCGCCCGAGCCGAGCCCGCGCGGGGAGAGAAGCGGGCGGCGCCTCCAGCTCCAGCGCAGAGCGAGAACAGCATCCTCGCCGGCATCGACAGCAAGCTCCTGGACCTCAACCTGAGCGCCGAGCCGAAGCCCGCCCCCGCCGCGAACACGAGCCCCGCAGGCGGCGTCCTCGCCACCGCCCCTGGGTGGAGAGGCGGGGGGCAGCCGGGGCCCTGGTGCTCCCCGGCGAAGCGCGGGGGTCGGGGGCGACGTCAGGGGAGGATGGGCTCCTGGAGGACGCATTGCACCCATTCATCGTCGATGAGGGCCCGGTTGCCCACCCCGCCCAGGAGGGTGCGGTTCTGCTATCGGGGGCCTGTCGCCAATCAAGCGGCGATGTGCCGCCGATTCCGGCTCGCTGCTTCTCCCCCTGAGCCAGTCCCCCAAATTAGCGTTCCCCCTCGGGGCGGGCGAAGAATCGAGGCTCGGGGATCGTTTTGTTGTTGTTGGCTTTGTTGCTGTTGTTGCTGTTGTTGTTGTTGCTGTTGTTGTTGTTGTTGTTGTTGTTGTTGTTGTTGTTGTTGTTGTTGTTGTTGTTGTTGTTGTTGTTTTTGTTGTTGTTGTTGTTGTTGTTGTTGTTGCTGTTGTTGTTGTTGTTGTTGTTGTTGAAATCTGATTTCTGAAGAATAAGTATGGTTTCTTTACAAGGAAAGTCTTGGTGCTCAAGCTGGGCCCCTGGCCCCACGGATTACAACAACACCTGCTCTTGCCTGAGACTTCTTCCAAATTTACTCAGGATTCCGCTCTTGAGACTTCCTCGCGATTTACTTCGGATCGATGCTCCCGCCTGTGACTTCCTCGTCATTTAGTCAGGACCCCCGCTCCCATCTGAGACTTCCTTTCCATTTACGCAGGAACGGCGCTCCCGCTTGAGAATTCCTCGCAATTGAATCAAGACTTCCTCGCAATTTAGTCAAGACCCTTGCTCCCGCCAGAGAGCCCTTCTCATGTTACTCAGGAATTGCGCTCTCGCCTGTGACGTCCATGCAATTTATTCAGAAATCGCGCTTTCGACGCTCAGGAAACACGCTGCGCCAAGGAAGCCGTTACAATTTACTTAGTAGTCGCGCCCTCGCCATACTCAGGCATCCCGCTTGAATGTCCCACCCGCCCGACCCGCCCGTCAGGGGATCGCCCGCCCGTCGTGGGCTCCCGCCCGAGACTTCCTTCAGGAACGGTGCTTTCGCTTAGGAATTCCTCGAACGTTCACGCTCTTACCTTCCTGCTCCTCCTCCCTCTCCCTCTCGATCAATCTACTCACCTCAGGGTCCCCTTGAATTCATGTTTTGCGGCATCCCTTCCTTAAATAGTCCGGTGCCGTTCAGAAACCGTCATTGCACGCAGAGTCCGGTACGTGCATATCACGAAAGTTGACCAGATCATTTTCTCATCCATCATATCTTCCTCCTCGTCGTCAGTGTCAATTGTCATGGCAAGGTCGGTGATATCTCTAGCGATGGCTGCACACACACTGTCAAGGTAGGCATTCCTCCTTGCTGTGTTGAACTTCCCTTTTCATGTTTGCCAGCAAGCGTGAGGTGAGACCTTTTTGGATGCGGACACCTTTCAGCATTCATACTGGTAAGAGCATCGTAGAGACCTGGTATCCTGATGGCAACTACCCGTGTGTGAGTCCTGAGAGAGCCTTCCCATATCCTCCCTGAGGGCCCTTCTTGAAAACTTGAAAACAGCACTGGTCAACGTGGATTGTGCTGGTAATGGGCGCGGAAACGATCGTTCGTAGAGGGGGCCACATGTAGGGCGTGGGCGCCCAACTCTGCCACCAAGACAGCTGTGGGTGTTCACTCCACCCACCCATGCCTACCGCCGATCACCAAGTGAACCCCCAAGAGCCGTACAATGAGTTGTTGTAGTAAGCCACCTGTTTGCAGTTGTTTTTGTTGTCTTTGATTTGCCAATGGAGCTTCCCAAATGTGCTCGTTGGTACGAAAGGGGGGCCCTTCCAGCCATCTGGCCGCACTCCATGCTTCACATGGCGCCCCGCCCCGGTGTTCCAGACACGCTTGGCTCTGAGTCGCGCGTCGCGCGTCGGCGAGTCGGCCACGTGCAGGAGTTCTTCTTCTGACGATAATCCGATGGTAAATCAAAATCAAAAAATGGCTCTGATGTGAGCATACCATTCCTCTATTGTTCGCTGTCGGGTGAGGTCCCCCTTTAGGTTGCGAGTGACGATGTGGACTGACAAAGATATTGGGTCATGCCCGAGATGTGGGACTACACGTCGTCTGTCCTTCTTCTGCCTGAAACAAGTTGAGTGTTTTTGTTTGTTCTCCCGTCGCTTGATTTGTGCCGGCACAGCACATGCAGCCTGGTCAGTGTAATCTGGGGGTCTGTATATGTAGAACCTGTCATACCTGTCCTCCTGGGCCTCTTGGGTGAGCACTGCTTGGAGATCTTGGGGTTGCTGAGGCATATGTAGCACCTGTCGTGCATCATCTTTCCATTCGTACAGCGTGTCCAGGACCCCTCTAAGGAAGCCCATGTGAGCCCTTCAGGGGGAACATGAGCAGTGGCAGGATACGCTGACGTCAACCGACCCAACCCAGCTCGTCTCTGTGCTAATTGTGATGCAACATCATGTGAACACGCGCGCGCAAGCTAATGCGTATTGTCAGCGCCGTGCAGGAAGTATGTAAGGCAGCACTGAGAAGAGTCGAAGACAATATGGTCTCGAATCTGCCTCCGTCGCGAGCACTCCTTCGCGCATGCCCGTCACGTGTTTGAGGGTCCCATGGTCAGCTCTACATGTCTGACCAGATGGACATTAGTCTGCACCGCATGTTGCTGCAGGGACCTGTGCTTCGGAAGCGTAGGCTTACACCACGGACAGACCCGCAGCTGCTTGCTCCTGTCGTCTGAGTGGGTGGTCGGGGGAGGGACCCCTCCAGAAAGGACCAGCACAAAAAAGTCCTTTTCAGCCCGAGCGGCAGTTGGCAGTCGGCATGTTGCGGCCACGTGGCCTCGCAGTGCGCCGCGGCGCCATGACTTCAAAAATCTCTGGACCAGAGCTCCTCTGCCATGACGATCCTCTGCTGGGTCGGCGTAGTCGTGTAGCACCTTAGTGTTATATTGTAGCCAATGCAAGTCGTGAAACACATCAGCCAGCCATGAGTGTGGACACGAATGGCAAGCCGAAGACACCATTCCCGTCATAACATCCATGTATGAGCCGTCCGAATAACCTGAGTCGGTGAATGCATAGCTGGTTAGGGATATCCGCCCTGACAACCTTAGCTGATACTGTAGTGTACTTAGTCGTATTGTCATCATACCTTGGCAGTTCTGCTGCCGCCCGATGCGTACCCCATATGCTGGCTAACAGAAAAAGAGGCTGCGTTTCAGTTGCACCGTGCCAGGAGCCGGCGCCAAACAGATGCGATGGCGTTCGGAGCCTACGAGACGGGGTTCAATGCAGACGGGGGTCAGCCAGGGCACCAGATCCTGCAGGATCCTGCGAAGACCCCCTGTGGCTGACCCGGGTTAGCGAGCCGCTCGTGGCCGCGAGGCGGCCTCGCCTATTGGCTGACCCGGGTTTGCGAAGACCTGCGTTGCAGTTGTTTTGTCCTGCACTGCAGTTTTTTGGTTTCCTGCTGACCCGGGTCTGCATTGACCCGGGTCAGAAGACCCCCGAGGCGTCACCAGCGAATCAATCAAGTGCGTCTTGATGTGTAGGTTCTTGGGGTCTTGGCCCATTGGTCGAACAACTCTTCTGCGTAGGGAGTGCCACACACCTGCGCAAGCTCTGCGGCGGTGTGCGATCTCTGGCCCCACGGTCGCCTTCTCGTCCAAGATGATCCCAAGGTGCGGGTTCTGCCTCGAAACCTGGATGTCCAAGGGGCCCAGAGCTTCGGGGACAACTGGTATGACTCCTCCCATCTTCTTCCACAACTGCACTCCGGCCAGCTCGGCCCCTTTCCCACGGAATTGGCGCAGGCATTCGGATTTCCCTTTTATGAAGTTCATTTGGAGACCCACTCTGGTGAACGCGCCGGCAACGATGCGAACGACATCCGCTGTAACATCAGCTGGTTTGAGCGACCCACTGGTTATAGTATTTTTAACTGAGGCCCCGTCGTCGGAGAAATTGATACCTATGGCCGGCGCAGCGCTGGTGGAGCCATGTTCCAAAAGTTGATGGTATTTGGCGTCCGTTTCCGTCGGCTTCTCCAGTGGGTATCCTATAGCTGTGAGATTCGCAACTGCAGTATACAGGGACTCTGCCATCGCATAGTTGTAGACTGCGTCGCCGAGCTGCTGTCCTGGAACCGATCCTAGCATAGGGTATGCTATGGCCGTTGCACCTGCAAAGTAGAACCACGCACCGGGATATGATGTAGTAGGGAGCACGTGCGCATGTCCAGAAACCCCAGCACGCTTCAACGCCGTGTCCTGTTGTGCAATCTTGCGCATGGCGGCCATCCTGCCGCCTTCAGTATATGGCTACCTCATCGACTGCGAGGGAAGATGCCATCACGAGTTGGCGAATCGCTTCGTAGAGCTCCCGGGCAGCGTATACCATGGGGAAAAGAGCAGGCTGTCCTTGTCCCTCTGCAATGGTCTGGAAGCTGCGCAATGCTAGACTGGCAACGTCCACGCCTCGCTCGGCGATCCCGCCGTGGTGTGTGCGCCCCCCGCACAGGGTGGCAGTGGAAACACGAGCGGGGTGCTTGGTAGCAGCCGGTGCATGTTTTCAACGTGTGCTGACACCATGACCGCTCTCGATTTGTGAGACTCGCGACTGCAAGAGACACGCACTCTGCCATCGCATAGTTGTAGACTGCGTCGCCGAGCTGCTTTCCTGGAACCGATCATAGCATAGGGTATGCTATGGCCGTTGCACCTGCAAAGTAGAACCACGCACCGTGACATGATGTAGCAGTCAGCGCGTCGACATGTCTAGAGACCTCAGCACGCTTCACCGACGTGTCCTGTTCTGCAAACGTATGCATGATACTGTGCATGGCGTCTGGCGGTAATCCTGCCGCCTTCAGTATGATGGCTAGCCCATCGATTGCGAGGGAAGATGCCATCACGAGTTGGCGAATCGATTCGTAGAGCGCCTGGGCAGCGTATACCATGAGGAAAACAGCAGACCGTCCC